TCTGGTGGACTGGCTGTCGCTGACTGCTTTGTCCTCGTTTCTCCTTGGGTGATGACTTTGTATGGCTTTGTACAAACAATGGCACTTCGGCGAACTATTCCAGTGGTCTGCTCGTGGTAGAATGTATCGCTGCCCGGACGTATTTGGTTTGTATGTCTTGTCCAAATCTGTCCATCGACCAGAATGTCGTAAAGCCTGTTTCCATGTCTTTGTTGTATCCTACCGGCTATCTGTCGAGGTGTTCCTGCTCGATAGTCCGTTGTCCAGACGGAATCACCAACGTTGAATTCCCTTATTCGTGCTCCATGATGCCGATTATATTGGTCCTCCATCTTCTGATTCCGCGTTTTGGCGCTTGAGGTCTAAGATGGTTCCAGGAGGTTTAACTTGTCCTGATTCTTCTGTTCAGGAAAGCTTCAGCAGGAGACAGTCCTCCAGGCGTGGAAGAGCAAGGTGTTCGGCGGTAGCAGAGCAGGAACTTTTGAAGTGCCTCAGTCGACGGTAGGTTCTTCTTCATCTTCTTGAAGTTTCTTTTGAACGTGTCGACGAAGCGTTCTGCTTGTCCGTTGGACTGTGGATGGAAGGGTGGTGACTTCAGGTGTGTGATGCCGTTTTTGTTGCAGAAGTTGCTGAAATCCTTGGACGTGAATTGCGGTCCATTGTCCGTCACTAGTGTTTCTGGATTCCCAAACTGAGCGAAAAGACGGCGTAGTTCTCTTATCGTGCAGCTTGTAGTGGTAGATGACATCTCGATAACTTCTGGCCATTTCGAGTAAGCATCAACGACGATGAGGTAAGTTGTACCATCGATCGGTCCTGCGAAATCGGCATGTATGCGACTCCACTGCTTATATTGGCCACGAGCATAATGTTGCTTTCACTGGATTCTTCGCAGCTTCCTGGCAACTTTGACATGCTTTCACGAAGTTTTCGATATCGTTGTTGATGTTCATCCAGTAGACGTGGTTTCTGGCGAGCATCTTCATCCGCATCCCTGGGTGTCCGTCGTGAAGTTCGCACAGCACAACTTCACGTAGGCTATCAGGAATTATAACGCGATCCCCGATAAGTAGACATCCATTGTGTGTTGAGAGCGATTCTTTGAGGCTGTGAAATCTTTTCGTGATATCTGATTTCCTTGGCCATTCTCCGCTCCGCACGAAATGAAGAACATGTTTCAGAATAGGATCCTTAGAGGTTTCTTCTGCTATTGTGTGGGCATCCACTGGTAATTTTCGACATGGCATTGACGAATACGGTGGACGAATCCTTCTCTATCGCTGCAATGACCGCATCTTCTTGAGGCGTCGATTGTTCTGCGATGAGGCGGGATAGAACGTCTGCGTGTCCAAAACTAGTGGTACATCTGTATTCTATGTTGAAGTCGTAGTTCTTCACTATGAGAGCCCAACGTTGTAGCCGGTTGGCCGTGTAGACAGGTACTCCTTTCTTGGTTCCGAACATAGCTAGGAGTGGTTTGTGATCTGTTAACAGCTTAAATTGACGTCCGTAAATGTAGCGGTGGAACTTCCGCAAGGCGAACGTTATCGCGAGAGCCTCTTTCTCGACTTGACCGTAATTCTTCTCGGCAGCTGTCAAGGAACGGCAGGCATGGTGAATAGCTTTTTCCGTTCCATCCGAAAGACGGTGACTGATTACTGCTCCTATCCCGTACTCCGATGCGTCGGCCGCGACAACGATCTCTTTTGTTGGATCGTAATGGGTGAGCAGAAGGTTCGAGGCAAGCACATCCTTGGCGCGTTGGAAGGTAGTAGCTGAGCATTCCAAGGAACGATCGCACTTCGAGGCAAGCACATCCTTGGCGCGTTGGAAGGTAGTAGCTGAGCATCCAAGGAACGATCGCACTTACGCAATGTCCTTGGGTTGTGGCATCTTGCGTATCACTTCGATCTTGGCGGGATCGGGTCTTCGTCCTGTGGAATCGATAATGTTTCCTAGGTATCGGAGTTGAGGCATGAGAAAATTACATTTTTCGATCCGGACGCGGAAGCCGTAATCGGATATCCTTTTGAAGAGGGCTTCCAGATTGGCAACGTGTTCCTCGATGGTGCGGCCTGTGACTATGACGTCGTCGAGGTATGCAGCGCAGCCGTTTAGTCCACAAATCATGGAATCGATGATTTGTTGGAAGATGCCAGGTGCAGATTTAACGCCAAACGGTAGGCGATTGTAGCGGAGTAGTCCTCTGTGCGTATTGATGGTCAATAACTCCTTCGCCTCGTCATCGACTTCAATTTGTAGATATGCATCTGCGAAGTCAATCTGCGTAAATGTCGTGCCACCATTTAGTTTCGTGAAAATGTCATCTGGAGTGGGCAGTGGATGTTGATGTAGCATCAGGGCACTGTTCAGTCCTGTAGAGAAATCGGCACAGAGGCGCAATGTTCCATTTGATTTCTTGACAACAACGACAGGTGCTGCCCAGGCAGAGTAATCGACGGGGGAAAGTACATCTTCTGAAAGTAGTCGGTCGATCTCCTCAGCTAATGCGGTAATGTAGGCGTATGGCACGGGACGCTTCTTTTTGAAGACAGGGTGAGCATCAGCATCGGGTTTCAGTTGTAGCGTCGCCTTAGTCTTTGTGCATCGGCCAAGTCCTGTCTTGAATACTTCGGCGTAGCAGTCTTTCAGTTTGGCGACAACTTCCTCTCGGCAGGCAGCAGCAGGATCAGCTGAATCGTCACACCATTGATTTACTTCTGTAGCGGTCCAACCATTTTTGGAATTTTCTGGATCCACTCCCATCTGAAGATGTTCTGGTTTTCGGTGACGTAGCAGTATCCATTTCCATGGTGCTGCTTCCCATCAGAGCTTTTTAACGTGAAGTCAACCTGACGCGTCCATGTATTGGAATTCTCGTTCCATTAGCGGCATTGATGACGTTATAGTTCTGCAGTTGTGGTCTTCCGAGTTTCTCCCAACTCGACTTCGAGATCAGTGTGATCATAGCGCCAGTGTCGAGTAATAGTCTCAGAGTACGTCCTCCTATTTCGACATCCAGAAACGGCTTGGGTTCTTTTCGTAAGGCGTCTTCGATGCCCTTGATCTGGTATTTCTTCGTACCGTTACGTCTGGTCCAGGGGCGTGACGGTAACGTTGATTCCATATTCCCAGATTTTATGAAGGGTTTTCATTGTTTCTCTATTCTTCCAACCCTTTTTAGCTTGAACTTTCTTCTTTTCTTATTGCCAATACGGTTGATTGTAGGTAGTAGGAGTAGCAGCGTTTTCCAGCATTCTCGCGTCTTCTTTGTACGACTTGATGAGCTGACACTCAGCAGTGAGGTCCTTGATCGTTATATTGTTGTCTTGGTCCAGTTTTCTCAATAGGCGCGTTCTGTAGTCCGCGAATTCGGCTCCTTGCAACCCGCCACATAGGTTAGGCATTGTAAACCATCAAAGGTGAGGAATCGAATTTCGCGTTGGAACACTGTGTCTGCACAAGGGTTTCATAACTGTTGAAATCCTGGTTATCGTACTGGACTTTGAGACATTCAAATCTTCGACGAAACAATGTTTTCGCAGCACCAAACAAACGATCCATTGTGGAGACGGCTTCGTCCCATGATAGATCCGACGGTGACCTGGGCGAGATTGAGCCGCAGAAGAGGGGCGAGATTGAGCCGCAGAAGAGCTGATGACAACTTTCATCTAGGCGGCTAACCAAAAGTCGAGTTTTCTCTCTTTCGCTCAGTTCGCTGCAGTCGTTATCGAAAACATCCTTGAATCTTTTGAACCAAAGATCAAAAGTTCTGTTATTCTCAATGTCGAAGGTGAATCTGTCTATGCGCTTACATAGTGAATCGAAAATGGTATGTTTGAAGGTGTTTGAAGGCTGCAGGACTCACAACACTTGTCGTCGTTCTGTCTTCCATCTTTTCCAGGAGACGCACAAAATGATCCGCAGTTTCTTTCTGTTGACGCAAGAAGTAGTCGTTGGTTTCCCTCTGTTGCTGTTGCAGGAGTTCCAGTGCCTTGTCTTGGTTTGTCCATCCTGTGCTGGAGTAGGCGAAGAACTTCGGCCAGCTGCTCCTCCATGCTTGGTTCCTGATCGCCACTGTTGTGAACGTAGTGACCGGATTTGGTTGGAAGTTTATCCTCGGAGAAAAGTGACAACCTCACCACACACTGTGCTTAAATATCATAATACAAACAATGTTACATCATAACAAAAACAATGGTGGTCTATCACAGCTATATCACTATGGTGTCTTCATTTCTCCAAAAGCTACCACGACCAAGTCAACTGCGAGAAGGGTATATTAGTTGGCTCAGCGTTTCCATGTACTTTGTTCTTCTCTGGCGGACCACTTAAGACCTACAGTTATCTGGACAGTTTTCATTTCTTATGCCGTATTCCTTTATTTTCCTCCAGCTGTCGTGAATGTACCGCTGAGGGTCATCAAGTGCGGTATAATATCTTCCTCCTGAAGTGATTAACACTACTTGCAGGTTGGGACTGGCGCTCAAAGTACTGTATACATTAGGAGATGAACTCAATCAATTACGTTGGGGTGCACTAACTCCTGGTTACTATCTGAACAAAAAGTTAATAAAGGTAAATAGCTTGTTCTCATTCTAGGAACCTTATAGATGACTGAGTTGCCGGTGAGGACATCCACGCTGCCACATCCAGCGCTGATGCGCAGTCACTAGATAGATAGATACGGCAGATACTGACCTAATGCTACGCGGATATTCTCACCGGGTTGAAGTTTCCAACTACTTTTATGTGTATTCGATATCCTCTACAGTGAAATTAAGAGTAAGTATTTTCAGATAGTCGATGATTTTCTGCCGCATGACATTTCCCCAGCTCAGGGAAGACTATACATATCGCTCACGTTGAGAAAGGTACGCATTATTAATAGACCTTACTAGAGTTTCCCAAAATAGTCGTGAGAAATGTGTATTGTTCAGGAACGGACGAATAAACTTGTTTGCAATTTTTCAAGTAGGGATCACTTGTTGCATTGTTTAATGGCAAGTTGTTATATACCAATGTATTCGATGGGTTATGGCGCTGACCCACCCGTGATCGATGGTCAAGTAAGTTTGTATCAATCAGTACCGTTTCCCGAATATTGTGGCCACAATTCTTTGAAATATTAACGTTCCTCAGGAGGCCGAGCTGAATACGCTGAAAATACGATGTAAGGTGTCCCACATATCCCTTCTTATCCGGTCGCTATCCTGTAGCAGACATTTACCTTTGAGAGTTTACCACACTGTGGCATCCATAGGTATAGGCCGTGGTAGGACACGTCCACTTCAAAGGTTTGCGAAGAATGCGTTGGCACCGAGGCCGATCTCAGTCTTCCACACCTCTCCTTCCTGACACGCCCCAGCATCCGCAGCCGACAAGGCTCTACCCTCCATAAGATCCCTATTTCTGGTTTCTGCACAGACCTCGATTTTGGATGTTCGGGCCACACGATAGTGCCACACGAATTGACAGCATGCAAAGATTGCTGAATGAGAGAATAGAGAACCACACATGCTGTTACTCGCAAGCGACCTGAGTACAAAAAACTGCATTTTTGGGCCTGAGACGACTTTCGTTGAACTACTCTAGAGGCACGTAAAGCCGATTGGATACAAAAACCATGCCTTCCGAAAATGGTTCCCGCTCCAACTTGTGCCGAATTGACAAGCCAGCTGATGGAGAACATGGTCACGGTAGACATTTCCAAAACGGCGGACCGCGTGGGACTAACGCGAGGCGGTAGAATACTGTAGCGGCTGGCGATGGTTCAGCGCATGTCCTGACTGTCTTCTTATGATTTAGAGTAGGGCGGAGCTGCGGCGGTTGAGTCCTTCCTATTTGTGATTTTGTATCCGGGGCTACAGCGCTCTTCTCGGCTCTTCCTTATATTAGCCATTATTTCGGTCAGAGCTAAACTCCTCAATATTCACGTTGAATGGCTAGTGATTCTTATTGGGTATTGTTTTGTTGCGCTGTGGGGCCACCCGTCTCTGTTGTATTCTCCATCGTTACCATTTTTCTTCCATTCCTGTTTCAGAGCTGTTACTTTACGTCGAATTCAGATTAGTGATTCAGGAATACATAGACGGCGGCTATACAAATAATTTACCGGATTTCGAAGATGTGCGAACAATAACAATTTCACCTTTTTCTGGTAACGCTGAAATTTCACCATCGGATAATGAAAATTACTTCGATTGGAAGATGACTGTGTGTAACCAGACGATGAATGTGAGTGTAATTTCTATCCAGTGTTCTGCGGTTTACTCCCAAGTGGAATTCTTGATGAAATCCGGCCCAGTTTGGCTTGATGGGGGCTCCGGATGGTACTTGGCGGAGCTTGTTCAGGTCACCTTGGCAACCTGTGAATTCTTCTATTCAAAGGGGATCATTTGTACCATTTTGCAGCTTAGTAAGATTTTACTGGTATCACTGAAGTATCAGTTAATAAGAACTATGAAAAGTAACTAAAGTAACTAGTAGCTAGCAAAATGTCCGTTCCCAGGTAGAAAAGTGCCGTGGTGTCAACTGAGGCGCTATTAACTTTCAAGGGAGCATTTGAAAGACTCGTCATGCAAGCGGGGACAGCCTGAATCCGGATAGATTACTGAATTTGTAAGTTTATCATCTTCAGAGTTCATTACCCCGTCAGGCTCAGGCGGAAGTCCTCAACTCCATCACGCTAGTCTAGTTTTGCAAGTCCTCAAGTGCCTCTCCCTCTTCCCGAAAAAAGTTAGTAATGCCTCGACTGGTTCTCTTCCGATCGATAAGGAAGTATTGATCATCACGGCACGCCTTACGGGATTCCCTGCGAGGAGAAAGTTCGCGCTCTTTTGCATCGGCTGAGGGAGACGACGTCTATGTTGAAGATAGTTTCGATTGATTGATGTCTCTTCTTCCTATTTCAATTTCATGCCCTACCACTCCTCCCCCTCCTCCTTTCGAGAAATTTTTGTGGAAAAAACTTCGGTAAAATGATAGTTGGTTGGGAAAATTACCTCAAATAATGGATTTGTTTGAATTCGATAGCTTTTATTAAATAGTGGACTTGCTTCAGGTCAATCTTCAGAACATTGTTCGAGGAGCACAAGCGCTATTTCCTCCATCTCGTGAGGTTCTGGAAGGTTACTATGAAGCGGGTTTCAAGGACGCCTTCAGGTTTCTTATCAAACAACGATATTATTGAGCGGCGCACTGGCACACCCGTATAAATCGCTCTCTGTGATATGTATAGTCTATTTTTTGTATACGTAATGTTCCTTCCACTAGTCAACTAGTCACGTTCCTGCTATTGTAAACTCGCTCCCTAAGAGCGCGTACATACTTCGCGATCCAATCGCTCGAGCGATCCCATTGCCGCGATGCAAGTGATCGGCACGCGGTATGAACGTGCTACTAGTGTTAAGTGTTCATACAGATACTCACAATACATTACAAGTAATAGTAGCTCCTTCTGTATAACGACTGAGTAGTTTTGTTCAAAGCAGTAGTATTATAGTCGTGTAATAGTGCAGTGAAATCCTTTAGCAGCCTATAGGTCATGTTATTGAAGATTTTTCTCGAAAGTGCCCGGTTTACAAGCTACCATGGATATTTAAAGGGATCTGAAATTATTCGCATTTTAGTCTAGTCATTTTATTAATCTTCCATGTCGCTGTTCTTTAGGAAATGAGCTAAGAACATGAATATGTTGTAAATGAACCGTAGAGGTATGCGTTCGATGTTTTTGTTCCGCCCTAACGGAATGGGCGGAGACATACAACCATTGTGCCTTCCTTATTGACCCATTCTCTTTTGTACTGGAATGAGGAGCGCATATTGAGGAAAGTACAGTGGACGCGGATCTTGGCCCATTCGCTTATCGCGGAATATTCCTTTATGCTTTGTTTCTAGATGTTGAGGGTTTACAATGCAGCCTCGTCTTATCACTCAATTGCCACGATTATTTCTCTCTCAAAGCGAGCAGGTAATATGTATAGTGCTGTCACTTCAATTGCATTTGAATCACTGTCCAAATTTATCGACAACGATAAAATGTTCCTTCGCTATGAAACGCTACATAGAGGTTGTGGGTTTTTTTATAAACGTCAACGTTTTCTGGCATTACTCGGGTGAAGTGGTACTGTGAAAACACAGAAACTTTCTTGTTTCTTGATCAGGATCGACCTTCTCTTAATCTTGGCATTTATGTATCTTTAAGCAGGTGGATAGTTTGAGCCGTCCAAGATTTTTATAATTTATTGGCCAACGTTTCGGCTTCCTCGCCTTCGTCAGGGCCTGAAAGAGTCCAAAAACAATTGAGATCTATTCATTCAGACGCCTTCACAACTTACCAGGAAAGGTCAACAGGTCAGCCTGGCCATTTGCAATGAGGTGCACATCATTGTACTCGCCTTGAGACGGTGAACTCAAAACTATCTTCAAAATTTGCGGAACGATTCTCTGAGCGGAGTTATGGAGGTTTTTCTTTACTGTTTTTCTTCTTCCGGGCGCGCTGGCGCCAAAGCGTTGGCACATGTAGCGCGACTCACAGCGCTCTTCGCGCAAAACAGGTATCATATTCGTGTTCAGGGGGTCAAATAACCCCTAGAGACGTCACCTTAGCGAAATCTGAGCTTCTGACTCAACTTCGAAAAAATGGGGTATGGATAGTCATGGCTGACTGATAGCCAACAGCGATACTATGACTC